CATTGACGAGTGGACTGAGCCATGTCGCTAATTGTCGACTACCTGGTTGGGGTCCGCGAGATGATAATAATCGATGGTTAGAGACCTTGAACGACATGGCTCAAAACCGTTTGTGATGGCGCAGGTGCATTTATTCTTTGTGTTCTCTCAAATCGTAATCTTCTGGATTCTTCAACACCTCTAGTTTTGACTTTCTAATCTTATCTCACTGAATCATACTTCTTGAATAATATCTTCTAATCCTAACCTCTCCGATTACTTCTAATAACTTTACTACCTTTACTACTATTTGACAATTACATCTCTGTGCTGATGTGGTATGGCGACATGAACTGATGTACTTAAATACGAAGTTCTACGTTGCAACTAACTGGCTGACTGACTGACACTCTGAGTCAATTAAAAACGAAAACATTACATTGAATACTCTATTTGCACACCATCTTTGAGTCGTGACTTCCGACGCTCCAGCCTTCTTCCATTCCTGTTGTTGCTTCCTTTCCTTCTTGTTGGTACTCCATTTACTTCTCGCTTTTGCTCTATTTGCTTTCCGTTTTCCTCTACTGACCATGAGACCTCTTCTTTCACGTCCCTTCTTATACTACTTATATCGTTCGTATAAGTAGCACACACTACAATAGGAGTTATATGCTGAGGAAAATTGTATTTTACATTAAAATCATGAATGAATCATTGTTAGACCACCATTAGAAACCTATAAGAAGCACTGGATGGCTGCTTCGTCTTCGTATGGGGCTTCTCAGCTGTACGCATCCATCAGCCCCAAAACAACGAAATTAAATGCAGGACTTTCGGTGTGAATCCATGATTTCTGTCACTCTCCGGGTTCGAACCCAGGACCTTCGGCCAAGCGTGCGATCGCCTAACCCCTGGACCACTAAGTCAGTATTCAACCGTGTTAATGTCTAACTCTGATCAATCTTGGTACTTTGCGCTACATCACTCATTGTCTTCGGTAGTTGCTGTCTATACCATCATTATGTATTCTTTTTATTTCGACCGACTTTTACATCGACAATCTTATTTTCATTAACTAAGCCTTACTCATTTTATACGTGATTCTTATCAGCGTTTAATAAATATGCAACCAATAATTCTTTTTCATAAAGTTTATTCATATATTTACAATCGTTTACTTAGTCTCTTAAAATCATTTACACTCACACTATCATTATACTGATAGGTGGTCATAGTATCAATTTCCAACTAGACTCTTTTTATTGGAATCATGAATCGATCAATGTTAAATCAACATTGGAAAACTGGAAGCAATCGACAGATATTTCATCCTGGTATCAAACTCCAGAGTAGTGTGTTTCCACGACTCTATGGCAGAAATCGAACTCAGGATCGTCGATTTTGCGCGCGAACGCTTAAATTTTTCAACATTAAACCGGTAAAAATTTTCACAGCTCCATTATAAAAATCACCGTGTGCTTCGTTGGGAAACACCATGATCAGAATAGTCGAACTGTCTTGCGTATGAGACAGTTACTCACTGAACGCTATGGATGAGTTCGTGCAATATCGCTAACTGAATAAAGATAGACATTAATACCGTTGGGTGATGGCTCGGGTGCTTAATGGTCAAACCCACTCTCACAAGATCAAAAGCCTTGAGTCCAGTTCTGTTCTATGTGATAGTAGATGCGCACGCACTGTTGATGAGTCTCATACCAGGATGAAACATCCATCCAAAGCCCATAGGTTTCCATTGGTTGTCTAACACATTGATCAATTCATAACTTCAATGGAACTCAACAATCTCCAAAACCCTATGATAAAATTATTGCATTTATCAAGCTGGCTATTCATTATCGATTCAAATAAATGATTCTATTGAGTTATGAGACTGAATTTCAAAGATAACCTCCAAGCGACACCGAAATGACCCTGAGAAGATTCGTCTAAAGAAGGTCATAAATTAATGTGTGGAATCAGAATAAGGATTGAGTGTTTTAACTCACTCACTGATATCAGTTATCATGTGAAAATGCTATTCTGTCGTAGGTATGAATGAATTGCGCGCGTCAAAAATTCGGCAACTCGCTATCTCAAATCTGATTGGTTCATCCAAAAATTATCGATTTAACTGAGCAAGTGAAAATAATCTTTCCTGTTTATCCCATAATAAGTAATGCATCAAAAAAGAGTGTAAAATGTAATAGGTTGTACAGGTTTATTCATTATTTACTAGTTACCATGACACTGTACTGATTGTATCGCATCTCTTCTATTATTATCATTTGAATACAACTGCATGTGACCAGTTAATCTGATAATTTTGTACCCATTTCAATATTCAACAATTTTTGGTGTTTGATTAGATTGCCTTGAAACATTGTGGTGAATCAGATTTATTGTTGAGAAAAATGTCTGGTTTTTGACAAAACTGTACAAATTTTCCTTCGTAAATCATTTCAAATTTATTTCTTGACCATCTCGTAAGAAACTTAGATGGATAGTGTTCAATCCTATCATTAAATCAATCAATTACAAAATCACAAACTAATTTAACTTTTTCATTTAAAACCACTGAATGACAAGTTGTTTAAAGAGAGAGTAGACACTGTCTGTCTAATTTGAGTGGTGTTTGGGACGTCAGGTCCCCAGAACTCACTTGACAAGAGTTCTAATTTTGGATTTTTTGTTTCCGAGCATGTGATGACCAGTTGACCTTGAGATTACATTTCCCACCTGGAAAAATCTATGGCTGTAGTTATTGGTTGATGTATTATTTCAGTACTCTCTTCTTGTGGCACTCTCAAGGACGCTGCTATCAGTGTATAAATAAGCTCGTTTTGTGTGCTTGTCGACCTTGTATTTTCTGGGTGCTTGTAGAATACACTTTCTACGTCTTATCAAGACTTCTTCCTCTACTTAGTGGGGCCGTGCGACACTGAGATTAAAGTAGTCTGTTGTGTCGCCGGATCATCGATCCTCGCTCTCGTTTACCGACTAAGGTGAACTCGTAATAGCATTCAAGCATATCAATTGATGTGCATAACAAGTGGCCTCAGTTATGTTTGAAATGTCACCAGGTCATTGACTGTTTTCTGGTTTTCAGTATACTCTGATCACGCCATACATTTCTATCACAAGACATTCTTCTGTCGGGTAGTAACTTCTAGGCAATCATTCGCTTCATACTACTCATAAAACAGATTATAAGTAGCATCCACCACACTAGAAGAAGGCAGTTGTCTAATTCTTCTCAATTTTTATTGTGTGTTTTGAAGAGGGAAATCAAACGAGACAGTGATAAACAATGGAAGTTTATTTTTTGGGAGCAAATTTACACCTAATTTGAAGTCTGCTAATTAGGAATATTTACTGTTTTTCCCCTATCTAATTTTGTAAACTGTAGGCTTTTGTTTTATGTACGATGCCCTGTAACTTGAACTAAACTCTATTTTTCTATTCTGAATCTCTAGTTTGAACATAACTGGTTAGAGACCTTGAACGACATAGCTCAGAATCGTTTGCAATGGCGCAAGTGAATCCATTCGTTGAGCTCTCTCAAATCCTAATCTTCTGCAATCGTCAGCACCTCTACCTTTGTCTTTCTAACCTTATCTCACTGAATTATACTTCTTGAATGATATCTTCAAATCCTAGTCTTCTTCATTACCATTAATAGCTCTACTATCTCTATCACTATGGGATTTGCTTTGACATTTGAGTCTCTGTGCTAATGCGGTATGGCTACCTGAACTTATGAACATACGTACGAAGTTCTACGTCGCAAATGACTGACTGATTGACATAACTGTATTCTTCGAATCCTTCATACATTGTGGCCTTGCTAAGTATATACACTTATTTACGCGTTTGTGGTAGAGTTTCATTCTCCAGGCAGGATGTTTCGGTTGTGTAAAGCTTTCATTGTCGTTCTTCTGAACATTTCATCATCAGCATAAACTTCAGGTAGAAGAAGTGAAGTATTCGAATTTCTCCACGTTTGACCCCAGTAGCTTGTTCTGTTCGAATACTTCACTTCTTCTACCTGAAGTTTATACCGATGATGTGGTGTGTTCAGAAGAAGAATAAGGAAAGCTTTGCGCAATCAAAATATCCAGCTCAGAGAACAAAACTCCATCACAAGCAGCTACCTGAGCTACAAATTTTCCCCATGATATTAATTTACATGTCTTTTTCATATTGTCACAGTCAATTCATCTGTCCAACTCTTGCTTAACAGCCTATCCAGTGATAAAAATTTATTTTCTTCCCTTCTACTCAACACCATTTCGTCAAAGTTGAACTGACGAACTACTAGTCTGAAGCTCCACTAGATAGTTGTTAGGATATTCATCAAATATCCTAAGAGAAATTTTTTTGGAAGTCCAATTCTATTGGTCATTTCTAACTGGTCAATATTATTGTCGTCCTAGATATCGATGTCATGTACTCCAATGTTGTTTCTTATTGGTCGCCCTGACAATCAGTGTCACTTCAAATGTTGTTTCCTATTGGTCGTCTTAACTGTCAATGTCACAGACTTCAATGTTGTTTCCCATTCGACCTAAATGTATAAATACGCATTATCTGTAACGTTTTATGACCCGGATCCTTAGTCCGGGATCCTGATTCTCTTCTGGACTCGGACATCGTACTTTCTGGATGCTTGTAGAATACAGGTTCTACTTCACATTCAAGTCTTCTTCTTTTACCCAATGGGACCTTGGGACGCTTTGTTTAGAGTAACCTGTCGTGTCGCCGGATCCTTGATCCTCACTGTCGTTCACTGGCTAAGTTAAACCCGTCATAGTTCAGGCCTATCAATGGACGTGTTTTCGTGCAATCGTAACAATAACTTATCAAATCAAATCCTATTATCACTAAGAATCCTGTGTAATAAATGGGCAAAATGACTCAATGACATAACCCAATGCTTATCTGACTTATATTCATCAAATATTAACCAGAAATAAAATGCATTTCTCTCTTTTACCCTCTCTGTCAATCTCATATTTTAGATTGAATTAGCTACAGAACACGAGGCATTAATGAACGATGAAAACTTATTAAATAACAACAATGAACAAGAATTCAACGTTGACGAACAACAAAACAATGATACAACTGATCAACAATTAATTCAATGTTTTCAAGATAAAACAATCATTGATCATTGTAAAACAAATATGAAAAAAATTAAATCTACACAACGATTACATAATCGTGATATATCACCATTAGGTGGTTATTTACATAACAACACCATGTTGAATCAACAATACTATTGCGGTAAATCTATATCACGACCACTTAGTATTGCTGAATTAGATGATCAAATTGATAGTATGCTTAATGAATTATCAATGAATTGTTTAGAGAATATAGATGATACTACAGATACTACAATCAAAATGAAACATTGTTCAAGGTTAAATGAACAACGTCCTTCAAGTTTGTTGAGTGATGTACAGGATTTAAACACAATTGAACAAACCACAACCAGTAATCATATTGATGAACCATTACCAAAATTAATGAGTTATGTTAAAATATGTAAACCAAGAAAGTTTGGTTTGAAAAAATTATTTCGTCGTTATTTTATGTTAATTAAAGAAATGGAATTATTTATTTATAAAGTAAGTTATTATTATTATTATTTATTGAATAGTGAATATTGAAAGAAATTTTGTTTTAATCATTGAAAAAAAAATATCATGTGATAAATACAAAAACAACCAATCAGAATTGCATTAAACTATCAATAACCTTGAGAGTCAGTTCTCAATTCTTATTGGTGCTCACAATTCGATAGTCTCGTTCTATCTGTCTGTCTTGCCTTTTTAGTTTAGAAGTTCATAAGCCAGCCTTAACAAAATTCGTTTTATTTTGAGGTAAAATATACTGATTACATCATAATGTAGAATTAGAAAATACATTTATACACTGATGAGCCAAAGAAAACTATAAACAACAGATTGGGAATAATAAATCACATCAGAGTAATTAATGAGTTCATCAAGAGTTTATGGCAAAAAGGAATATACATCTGTGATGATTTAGTTATTTAATTATTCTACTATTTACACTTGTTACCCCTAACAGTTAGGGCTTTTCAGCAAGTTGTATTTCTATGGAATGAAGTCGTTAGCTCCATGAACAACCCTCTTCCCTTATCAAGGCTTGGGACTGGTAGTAACCCTATCAGGGTTCCAAATGGAGTTGAATATATAAATAATAACTCTACAAATAGGTCCTGGTGTAGTGAGGGAGAACACAGGTGGGGCAACCGGATTGTCTTTAACAAAAATTACAGAGTTACTCAGTAAAATAGGAAAACCATATCGTAAATCGTTCATTTGCAAAATATCAGTCCATCATATCGAACTGGACTGTTCCTGTTGCAAAACATCAATCCATTGTCACTATTCATGCGTTTCATACAAATTCCATTGTGTTCCCACTCTTCCTTTCTTGATCTTCCCCGATCTTCTGCTGCCAGACATTACGTTAACACTCACGTCAAATACTACTTATAAGTAGCTCGCACCACATTAGGAGTTATCTTTTCTCAACCTATCAACAAACACTGTCTAATTATGACTGAAATGCAAACTATGATGTGTAAAATGTTAAGATTCAGTTTTAAAACATAAGTTGAAGTACTGAGTTTAGTTTTTTGATGCGGTTGTAAAGAGATGGTTTGGCAAAGCAACAACAGCACTTCTACAATTGAAAGACATCTAGAACTTAAAACAACTATCAACCAACAGCAAAAATCAAGACAGTTGTTGTAGATTGGGCGGAAAGTTGGGTAACCACGAAGGCAATCTACCACAGATATAAGTGTTTATTAACAGTAGTCTGTACAAGATACTGTAGATCCGCTCACCAGACACCAACAGCAATAACCTACCGTGGGAGAGAACAGGCCAGGTTCATCAGAGGAAGAAATATCACGTGGCAGGTTTTAACTTGGAATCCCTAAGGCGATCAGTAAAGAAGAAGTCCAAGGAACACCTAACTCCGAGAAATGCAGACAGACATGACAAGAATGGACAGCAGTTAGACAGAACTATAAAGGGAGCCATAGGTCAGCGTAAGTTGGAAAAACTGGTCGACTGCCTATGCTCCATTATGGGTAACAGATGAAAGTCAGGTATACACCTTAACACTCAGTTTACCTTAAGAACAGTTATGTTTGATAATTTAGCCTGAGCCTCATCGTAAATTCACTTTTTAGTTTCATAAAAGAAAATTTTTAACTAATTTCCAACAGTTTTAAGACTGTATATTTCCAATTTTCGCTTCTTCGATAATCACTGCATTTTTAATTTCGCGCAAATTCACATGCAGCATTGTCTTACTTCTGATTGGTTCATCCAAGGTCATGAATGTAGCATACTTTTACTTCTTTTCTCTTGCACTGGATATACCATAATACATTCACATTTAGTTTTTGATTGGTCTATTTGACAATTTGTAAAAAATGGTTAAGTTTTGTAATTTGTGAGAAATAATATATTTATTTCTATTATTCAGTAGTATAAAATGTTATTATTAACTTATGAAGATTCACTACTTCATCAGTTGATTTGCCCTTTTTATCTACCATCCTTTTCATAACACTAGCACTGCTTACTCGGTGGTCCCAGGATATAGAAGCTCTAAGCATTCGCGTAGGGTAGTTGGTAAACCTTCATTTCAAACCAATAATACTCATTTGAGTATGATCATATTTCTATTTTCGGGCAGAGTTTTGGAGGTGTGAGTTTTTACACATTTGAAAGCATCAGTCAATCATTGTTAGACCACCATTAGAAACCTGGAAGCACTGGACCGCCGTTTCGTCCTGGTATGGGACGCATCAGTGGCAGTGCGCATCCACGACTCCTGCACCTCGCAGGATTGGAACACAGGAACTTCGGTATTTTGCGCTAACGCCTAACCATTGGACTACTGGGCCGGCATCTAACGGTGTTAATGTCTAACTCTGATTGATATAGGGATTTTGCGCGACCTCACCCATTTGTCTTTGGTAGTTACATCTTCTCAACTAGAACTCCGAGAATCTCTTCACGAAGCTAGTCACTAGTGAGCACTGCTGATGAGTCCCATACCAGGACGAAACGGCCGTCTAGTGCTTCCAGGTTTCTAATGGTGTTGGTCTAACAATGATTGATTGATGATTTCATATTTCAATTCATTGTCTACCGTGAGACTGGATCTCTGAACGTTACTCTACTACCCAAAATGGTTCAGCTTGACGAAACCATCTGTTCAAGCAATTATATTATATTTTATTCATCCTCAATTAGCAAGGGTAATTTTACATTGGTTTTCAGTAGAATCAGACACAGCCAGCATGTTAACATTAAAACGTTAAAAGTACAGCTAAATCGTGTGGTGCAACCAGCACACACAAGTACCTGAAACATCCTGTTAGGATATTCATCCAATATCCTCAGCGAATTATTGGTCAATTCTTATTGGTAAATTCCTACTGGTCAATTTTATAGTCGTCCTATATATCAGTGTCACATACTCCAATGTTGTTTCTTATTGGGTGTCCTGACCATCAATGTCACTTCAAATGTTGCTTCCTATTGGTCATCTTAACTGTCAATGTCACAGACTTCGATGCTGTTTCTCATTCGACCGAAATGTATAAATATGCATTATTTGTAACGTTGTTTGACCAGGACCAGGACCCGGTCCTGGATCCCTACTCCGGGATCCTGATTCTCTTCTTAATTCGGACCTCGTAATTTCTGGATGCTTGTAGAGAACAGGTTCTACTTCACATTCAAGTCTTCTTATTTTTACTCAATATGGGGGGGGGCTGGGATAATCGGATTTGAGTAGTATGTCGTGTCGCCGGATCCTCGCTCTCGTTTTGCGACTAGGTAAACTCGTAACAGTTCAAGTTTATCAAGTTGACGTGTTTACGTGCAGGTGTAACATCCTGGTGGACCAATCAGAATCCTGTAAGCAATAGTCAGCCATTTCGTCCTGGCATAGGACTGATTCATCAGCAGTGCACATCCACAACGTCCACTACTCACAGGATTCAAACCCAGTACCTTCAGTCTTGAGCGTCAGCGCTTAACCTCTAGACTATCTCTGTTTCAATTCAGACAGCTAAGCATTCTCCAAACCCATACTCACATACACACACACACTGTTATTTTAATTACTTTTTTTTCTGTCTATTTCATTTAGAATAAAGAAGATTATGAATCGAATAGTCATCTTAATGAAGTAATTTATTTACCTGGATGTGAAATACAATCAGATTTATGTATTACTACAGATAAATACAATATACGTCTATTTATTCCAGTAACACGTACTAATTTACCACTATCTACAGCATTCAATGGTAACAATCATCATCAACACCATGATATCAATACTTTACAAACAAATAACACTGAACATTTAACGAATAAATTAAAACGAAGAGCTTCATTATTATCACTGACATCATTGTCACAACTGAGCAATGCTATTGGTTTATCTACATCAACCAATCATGACACATCAAACGGTCTGATTGGTTTAAATGCAATTGGTGCTTTAACTGGTCCATGTGCATCAATGACTGGTTTAATGAATGAATTATGGTTACAATTTTTGAGTTTAGATGATTTTATCGATTGGTTAACAATATTTCGTATTACAACCACAGCGAATCATTCCTGGATGATGACTACGACGACTACGTCGACAACACCAACACCATGTGTCGATTTCTCCACAGATGAGACTATAAAAAAATCAACAATGAAACGAAAACCTGCCAATCATCAATCCACATCACAATTATTCAGTCGTAAAACATTTAACAATGAACGTAAAGCTATATTGAATCTAGTCAAATTGTTATCACCACCAAATAAATTTCGACAATTTAATGAAACACAAAAAAAAGCAATTACTAATATTACTAAATTATATAATTATTTAGAAAAAAAACAGTTAATTAATTTATTACCATTAAGATTGGGTTATTTAAAAATTGGCCAAAAATTATGGGATCATACAAATGAGATTGGATTTAATCGTTCAGCTAGTTTAAGAATTCATGAAAAACCACCTATTGTTGGGCATCATACACAAACTAATCAATTGATACAAGTAAGTAGGATTGAATTGTTCGTGTTTATAAAAATTTTTTCAAAGTTATCTCAGTCAGTGTTCAATGTCCGATGTTATTCATCGAAGATTGTAGAGTTTTGATAAAACTAAGATCTCTATAATACTTACTTATTAGGGTCTAGCTTCATGAGATTCATGGAGTTCTAGAGAGAAGATTTGATCGATGGGGTTCAACCCTATGGGGTCTAGACAGTAATTAATTAACACAATTTTTGAAACCATGAATCGATCAATGTTAGACCACCATTAGAAACCTGGAAGCACTGGATGGCCGTTTCGTCTTGGTATGGGACTCATCAGTGACAGTACGCATCCATGACTCCTGCACCCCGCGGGATTCGAACCCAGGACCTCCGGTATTGTGCGCGAACGCCTAACCTCTGGACGACTGAGCCGGTATCTAACGGTGTTATTGTCTAACTTGATCAATTCACGGAGTTGTGCAACCTCATACAAAGTCTTCGGTAGACACTGCCTACACCTGAACAGGTTGAACCTCACAGGTCACGTCCTCCCACTAGAACTCGGAGAAGATTCTTCACGAAGCTAGTCACTGGTGAGCACAGGTAATTTGCATTACGTGGTTGTGAAGATTTGTAAGTTACACGTTTTTGAAACCATGAATCGATCAATGTTAGACCACCATTAGAAACCTGGATGAAGCACTGGACGGCCGTTTCGTCCTGGTATGGGACTTCTCAGCAGTGCGCATCCACGACTCCTGCTGCTGGTAGGTTGAAGGTATCAATCGTATCTGGTTTCGATGGCATAACCACGTTTCGCCTCCTACCTCTACTTCTTACACAACTCGCCCAACTCTTCTGATCACTCGCACTTCTACCCAGGTACCATGATTTGTTCTGTAGTCACGGGCTAACACAGGGCATCTCACTTCGTAATAGGATTGCCTTTGCTGCTTTGTTCCTACTGATGTTGATGCATTAATCGGATGCATCAGGCTGTGAGTCGTTTTCAGTCTTCTTCCTATCAGGATTTCTGCTGAGTACTTTTGCTCCAGTAACAACTCATTGGGTGTTGTTCGATAGATGTACAAGAAATTTTGTAATGAGTCAGCTGGTGTTATGAAGCGAGTTCTTGGGATCTAACATCCTCAACACATATACTATCTTGAATTGATGAATCTTCAAGTTACATGATATAGAACGTTGAATGAATAATCTGAATAGATCTTCTTGCGCGCCAACACCTAACCTCATATATATATATATATATATATATACTTACGCCTGTTACCCTCAATGGAGCATAGGCCGCCCACTAGTTTTCTCCAACCAACTCTGCCTGTCCTGGGCTTCCCTCTCCAGCTCTGTCCAGTGTTTGTTCATTCCTCCCATATCTTTCTCTATTTCTCGGAATAATGTGTTTCTTGGCCTTCCTCTTTTCCTTTTGCTTTGAGGGTTCCATGTGAGGGCTTGTCTCGTGACGCAGTTAGGTGCTTTCCGCAATGTGTGTGTCCTATCCACTTCCACCGATATATATATATATATATATATATATATATATATATATATATATATACCTTTATCCGCGTTTGACCTACTTTCTACTTCCATTGTTTAACTATGAACAAAAAAACTATTGTTATCGTATTTTATTATTCTTACTTACTAACAATACACTTGTCTTCCTGCTATCGATTTGTACTTTTCCACCTATTATGTGTAGTGACACAATCTCTTCTTTATTGTGATTATTGACCCATAATTTGACCTGATTAGTTTTCATAAATATTCATGTAGATTAGATTAAGAGTAACATTGGATGACGATTTGCTTGAAAACAACAATATTGTTGTATGATTCACAATAGGACAACGGACATAAATAGTCAAGCATAAATAATCCTTTTTTTCGGGCAGAGTTTTGGAAGTTTTGTGTTTTTACACATTTGAAATCATCAATCAATCGAGTTCAACCCTGTCAGGTGCAGTAGGCAGTAACTAACAACGACAAATGAGTGAGGTCGCGCGAAAATCCCTAGATCAGTCAGAGTTAGACATTAACACCGTTGGATGCCGGTCCAAAGGTCCGATGGTCAGGCGTTCGCGCACAATACCAAAGGTCCCGGGTTCGAATCATGTAAGGTGCAGGAGTCGTGGATGTACACTGCTGATGAGTCACATACCAGGACGGAGCGGCCGTCCAGTGCTTCTTATAGGTTTCTAATGGTGTTGGTCTAACAATGATTGATTGATGACCTCAAATGTATAAATAATCCTGATGCTTAAGCTTCGTACTTTTAAGGTCAGTGTTGAAAACTCGTAAGGCCGTAGTTTTATAAGGTACTTTTAGGGTTATACACTATCAGTCTTTGCTTTTTACCATAGAAAGGAAGAGTTGACGGGTATGTTGTCTGAAAAAAAGAACACTTTATTATGAGTAAACCATAACAAAGATCTTAGATAGTGAGTCTTAAGTAAGGAGGATGGAAAATCAATACCCAGATGGATTATCAGTGTATGTAAGAAATTCCCGATAGTGGGAGGGCTAGCATGATTAACGAGTGTCATCTTCAAAAGAGCTGGAGACGTGTACAACGTTGATGTTCGAGGCAAGCATCTAAAACAACATGAAAACCATATTCGAGATAGATGATAGGATTTGAAGAATTACCTTCCTGACTTGAACTTAACACCTAATCGACTGATTGATACAGTTAATCAGGAGCTTGCTGGGGTGATTGTGAGACACCGAGGCGATCATCGAAGGAAGTTCGATTTTCTCAATGCCTTCAGATAAACCCAAGAACCTGGGATTACTTTTCAGGAGGTGGAGATGATGTACTGAGCTAATCAGAAGTGGCCATATGAGAAGAACATTTGATGACAATCAGAAACGACTCATAAGACGAGAGCATATCATTGGTCAAGAAATAGATTCATTTTCTAAGAGCGAGGAATAACTGTCCATAACAAAAATATTTATATAATATTATTCGGTAGTCAAATAGACTTTCCTGTCCATTCTCACCTTCTCGCTGAAGTAGACAGTTTTGAAGGTTAATGAGCATCACATTCAGATCTCGGTCACTGTAAAATAGCGACAGTAATAAACAGCAATCTACATATCTAAGGGGGTTGAAAAACCTTTATTGCAAACCAATGCTGAATATCACCTCCATGTTCCGAAATAACAGATAGCTTCGTCAGGAAATTCTTCGAGTTTTTATGAGAACACGTGGCCGGTGGAGTTTAACCCTGTCGGGTGTAGGCAGTATCTACCTGTTAGGATATTCATCCAATATCCTAAGAGAATTATTGGTCAATTCCTATTGGTTAATTCCTACTGGTCAATTTTATGGTCGTCCTAGATATCAATGTCACGTGCTCCAATGTTGTTTCTTATTGGTCATCAATGTCACTTCAAATGTTGCTTCCTATTGGTCGTCTTAACTATCAATGTCACAGACTTCGATGATGTTTCCTATTCAACCTAAATGTATAAATACGCATTATGTTTAACGTTCTATAACCAGGACCAGGTCCCGGATCCCTAGTCCGGGATCCTGATTCTCTTCTGGATTCGGACCTCGTACTTTCTGGATGCTTGTAGAATATAGGTTCTACTTCATATCAAGTCTTCTTATTTTCACTCAGTATGGGGGTCGGGATAAACGGATCTGAGTAGTATGTCGTGTCGCCGCATCCTAGATTCTCGCTCTCGTTTTCCGACTAGGTAAACTCGTAATAGTTGAAGTATATCAAATTGACCTGTTTACGTGCAAGCATAACACTCACCACCAAAGACTATGGATGATGTCGCGCAAACTCCTCAGCTTGCTCAGAGTTAGGCACTAATACTGTCAGATGCCGGTCCAGAGGTTATCTGTTTGCCTACAAAACCGAAGGTCCTAGATTCAAAAATCCTGCAAGTAACAGTAGCCATGAATGCGCACTAATGCTAATGAGTCCGATACCTGCACTGAAAGGCCGTTTTTCAGTAGTTCCAATTTTCTAATAGTGGTCTCACATTTATTGATTCATGATTTCAGTTATTTAAAAAAGACAATCTACATAAGTCTATCATGAAGAAAAAAACATTTTTTACTGTAGGGTTCGTCACTTAGTATGTTTGAGGCTATTACGAGTTTACCTTAATCGATAAACGCGAACGAGACAATGAACCAGCATCCAGATAGGCTACCCTGAATCCCAAGCTGTAAATAGAAGGATTTGTAAGATTAGAAAGTATATTCTACAAACACCCAGCAATCACACAATACAATCAAGCATACAACTCTCGTTTATTTATACAACATAGAAACGTCCTTGAGACAGTTACGAAAATAGCACACTAAAATACACAGCAGCAGTCAATCACAGCCATGGATTTTCCTGGATGGGAATTGAAATCTCAAGGTCAACTAACTGGTCAGCCCATGCTGGCTTCAAACGTGAAATCCAAATAGTAAGGCATTTATCAAGCGAATTTCGGGGATCTAACATCCCCAACATTTTCTACTCATTCTTAGCAATATCATTGTTAATTGTTCTCTGTTTTTGATTTCTTTCTCTTTCAATAGACAAGAAATAATTTCATTCAACATATTTCATTAATTTACACACAAATTGAACATTTAACAAGTTTACAAACTAAATTGAAATATATCAATGCATGGGAACAATTACATTTACATGGTATACTGTTTTTCACTGCACGTATACAAATCACTGTACCAATGAATAGTTTATTCCAATCGGAACATTCACCACTACATGAAAATACAAACCAAAACAGTAATAATAAACAAACAAATTGGATGCCTGGTATTGTTCAACGTTCAATCACAACACCAACACAAACAACACCGACACCAACCACAACACCAACAACTGGCAATCATGTCACCATATCGATCAGTCGAAAACTTGATGCTATCGGGATCAGTGCCACACGTATTTATCGATGTGATTTAACGAATGGTGAAATTCTAGCTAGTTGGCGTATGTCCTCTATACAAAGTTGGCATATTAATTGGGAATTAAATGAAATGGTATTAAATTTAGCCTGTGCATCGAAAACACACTCAAATGCTGCAACTACTACTACTAATACTACTAACAATAATAAAACTAGTAGTATTAGTAGTAGTAACAAGTCGAATGAATTATCCGGTCGAGTTATTATTCGACCCATTGATATTTCAATTCGTACAGTAGCGGAATTTTTAGGCGGCTACACATTTTTAAATTTAAGATCACCAGAGAAAAATCAATGTCTTGCTGAAGATATTTTTTATAAACTTACTACAGGTATCTCACAACCATCTGTATGAGACGGGGAGAGAGAGCGAAAGGGCGTGAGAGATCAATGCTTCAATTTGAAATTCAAATTCAAATCTTTTTGCACACTTGGACATTTCAATGTTGACGTCTTTCAATGATCAATAATGATTTTATTTTACATTTATTTGTTCGTTCGTTTGTTTAAATTGCATGCAGTCAATTTACCTCTTTCCCTATATTACTCACATCAATGCATCGTCGTAACATATAACTACTATCGGTCGTCTATCATGTTTCACGTCTATGTATGTTACTTCTTCTGTCATGTCATTTTTATGTCAGATTATTTTGTATTTATATTAATCCGTATGAGTAGTGGTGTATTTATTGACAAATTCTTTCCACATATAATCATCATCATCATTATCCTATTTCGTGTACTTCACAACCAATTAGTTCAACTTCCCCAGCGAACACCTCGTACATATATTCTCACTTTTCTCAGTTATGTGTAATACTCACTCAATAAGGAGTTGTGTTTATTCTGCAATTAGAGTTCAGATTACAATAATTATTGACAATTCTATTGATATATAAATATTTACCAATTGTCATTCGATTTCAACAGCGTACATCACCATATAGGCGCTCCCATACACGCACACTCACACAAACACACAGGAAATCATAACTATGCATAAATGAAACAATAGAAAACTAATCGATACTGATAGAGCGTCATTTATATTTTGTGCTTTTTTCTCTTTTCATTTAGGCTTTCTGTTATTACTTATATTACTTATATTGTTATCAGTAGTAGATAGTTGTGTTTTTTAAAAAAATCACAACTATTGGCGTGAATCATACCCGTCTATGTGTGTGTGCGAGTGTGTTTGATTGTGTAGTGTGCTAAATCACAGTCATAAAATTATCCCCTTCTAGATGTTTATGGATATTGTTATTATTAACTATAATTTATGATACTACTTATATAAGTAGTGTTAAAGAGAAAATTAAAAAAACACAACATGACTTTTTGTTTTTCTATATGAATCTGAATGTTTTCATGTTTTGGTGTATTTCACTTGTTCCATTCATCTCTACTTATTTTTTCTCCTTCTATCTTTCTCGATTTACATCCATTTATCTATATCAGTGACGATATATAGGAACTGATTACTTGTTGAGAAACTACATATATATATATATATATATACACCCAATAGACATATATATCGTTGGTGTGTTTTTTCTGTATTGCTGTAATGGTGTGTTTCATGGCAAAAAACATAGAATACACACATTGATTTATGTAGCTTTGCCAGTTTGAATAAATCATATAGATTGGAATGAGTGAATCATTGTTCTTTTTCACCAAATATAGGTGTTTTTACACATTTGAAATCATCAATCAATCATTGTTAGACACAGCACCATTAGAAACCTGGAAGTAGTGGACGGCCGTCTCGTCCTGGTATGGGACTCATCAACAGTGCACATCCACGACTCCTGCACCTCTCAGGATTCGAACTCGGAACTTTCTGTCTTGCGCGCGAACGCCTAACCATTGGATCACTGGGTAGGGATCTAACGATGTTAATGTTTAACGCTGATTGATCTAGGGATTTTTGCGCGACCTCACCCATTTGACTTTGGTAGTTACTGCCTACACCCGACAGGGTTGAACTCATCCATTGGTCACGTCTTCTCAACTAGAACTCCGAGAATTTCTTCACACAGCTAGTCACTAATGAGCACATTTTACGATATTTTCAATTAGAGTTATGAAGATTAGTGCTTTTTACACATTTGACATCATCAATCCAGTGCTTCCAGGATGTATGTTTGTTAATGTTGTATTGTAGAGTAAGTGATTGTGAAAGGGTACTTTTCTTGATAAGATACTTATAACACTGAGAGATAAAAAGCATTGAATAGGTCGTCCCTGTTGATTTGTATCTTTTATTGAAATTTAGATAAACAAATTATAGGAAATAGTATTATTTTGCTAAGAAGTTAGCATTCGCTGACTAAAAAATCGAAGTCTCTAACATTCTTACTTACTTCCTTACACCTGTTATCCATAGTGGAGTGTAAGCTGCCGACCGACATTCGTCAGTCTATTCCGTCATTGGCGTTGTTTTTCAGTTCTATGCGATTCGTATTCATTCTTTTCATGTCTGGTTGCAATTTACGGTGTATTGTGTTCTTTGGTCTGGTGGATTCTAAATGAGAGCTTTTCTTATGATGGCAATGAGTGCTTTGCTGAATATGCAACCTATCCACCTTCAGCACTTTTTGTCAACCTGTTCCTCGACTGTAATCTGGTTTTTTCTCTCCCGCAGTAGGTTGTCGTTGATGGTTTCTGGTCAACTGACCCGGAGTAACTGTTAATAAACACCTGTATCTTGTGGATGATGGCTTTTGCTGTTCTCCAACTCTCTACTCCATACAATAGAAGTGTTTTGAAAATCCTGACTTTGGTGTTGTCTGGAAGACAGTTGTTTTCAGTTCCAAGTGTTTTTCAACTTTCGAAATGCAACCCGGGAGCCCCTCTGTGGTTACCACCAGTCTTCTATATTATTTTATTGATGGCTAACCGCTACCTTAGTGCAAAGATATCAGATTTCATTGTTCCTATCTTCGTTAACCATTTTTATTCGTCTCCAAAGTGTTTATTAGTCAGCCCAGTTGTCATAAAATGTCAAATCTTAAATATATTTGAAAAATTTATGTCAGACAGTCGATAAGAGTGATACTGTACAGGTTGGTAGGTAATACATCCTACATAATTCAGACAATTAGGACCCAGGCTTTATAAGTAGTGTATGAAATATAATCAGCGTAAATGGATCCATACAAGCGAAGTACACACACTTATAATTATATCTAGATAATCCTGAATAAATAACCGGGTCAAATTGTTAGGGACATTAGATCCCCAGAACTCACTTGATAAAGGTCCTACTTTTGCATTTTATGCTTTGCACATCGGCTGACAAGTTGACCTTGAGATTACATTTCCCACCCGGAAAAACCTTGACTGTTATCGGTTGATATATTATTTGAGTACGCTATTTTTGTGGCTCTCCCAAGGACGTTTCTAACGTGTATAAATAAACTCGATTTGTGTGCTTGTGAATCTCATATTTTCTGGTTGCTTGTAGAATACACTTTCTACGTCTTGTCAAGACTTCTTGACCACACACTTCTTGTCCACACTTAGTGTGGCCTTGGGACACTAGGATTAGAGTAGTCAGTCGTGTCGCCTGACCACTGATTCTCGCTCTCGTTTACCGACTAAGGTGAACTCGTAATAGTTTCAAACATATCAAGTGACGAGCATAACTCAAATACGTCAAACCGTAGTATGATGACAGTGTAGAAACAACCATGAAGAATTTCCAGCTACATTCTGTTAAATGAATATAATGAAGTTTCGTTCTCTGCGGTGGATTTTTCGGTTGGGAAGATTTCACTGCTCTTCATCTGAACAGAACATCATCAGCATAAACTTCAGGTATAAAAAGTGAATTATTCAAGTGTTTCCATGGATGACTGTTGATCTGTTGTCAGCAGTAACAACCAATCAAGATTGAGGTCAACAGAACAAGCTATGAGTTAGTCATCCATGGACAAATTTGAATGACTCACCTCTTCTTCCTGAAGTTTATGCTGATGATGTTGTTGTTGTTCCGAAAAAGAACAATGAAAGCTCCATGACTGAAATATCTAGGGCAGAAAACGAAAACTCCACTACAATCATCCACCTGAGCTAAAAATTTTCTCCATCATCTTGTAAATGGATAGTTTACGGGGAAGATGACTTAAAAATTACGAAGTATAAACAGATATCATATCATTCATAAATAGATTAAGACAATTTACATGTCACTCTGCTTGTAAATCAGAAAAACACCACAACTGAAAAACTCATTCTAATGAATACAGACAGTTCCCCTTCATGAACTGTTGATGAGTCAAATACCACTACGATCCAACAGTCTAGTGGCTCCAAGTTTCTAATGCTGGTCCAACAATAATCAGTTCATGACTTCAAAGATTTCTAATAGTGTTGGTGTTTCGTTTTCAGTAAGACAGACACAACGCAGAATTTCGTACGTAAGTACATCAGTTCAGGTTGCCATACCACATCAGCACAGAGACGCAACTGTCAGTTCAAATCCAAGAGTGATAGAAATAATAGAAGTATTAGCATTAATGGAGAAGATAAGGGAGCTGCTACCTTGACATGGTGGTCGGGCTTGCCTATCGTGATGATCTAACCGAGCTATATTGGCTGGAACATATGTTCACGAAGGTTCTACCATGCCAGGCAGGTCGATTGGAGAACGATGAGACTAAAAGTAGCTACTCAATGTCTGAGGGCGAAGTCTTACTGCTGGCTGACTGCAGAGAGGTGTGACAGCAGTAAGGTGTTTCCCTCGGACAACCAGCATCTGCAGCAATGCTGTCTTCTCACAAGGAAGGAAGCGGTTAGAAAAGGTCGACGCTAAAAATGTCACACCTCACCCTACCTCACGGATTTCCGCCTCCGGCGGTAAGGGTGCCCACTAAGGGCTTTCATGAGCGGAGCTTATTCTCAAAAAACCATTCATAAAAAGGCCGTGCATGACCGGCCTCAAGCAGTTGTCCCTTGGGCTCTGCGGTCACGCACCCAGGTCTCTAAGACCAACTTTAATAAACCTTCCTTTTCAGGTTCCTCAAGAAACAACCTTCCACGGTGTGGGCAGCCGGGAAGTGACAACCTCCTTCCTACCCGTAACAGCACACGAGACCAAATGGGTCAAAATCAAATCCTTTCTACACTCCTTAATGCCTCTCTTATCTCCACAACTAACTCTTCTCACATTCCTATATCACACTCCACAGCTAATGCAGACGATGCGATTTCACGAACCGTCACTTCTGGTCTCCTGTTTCGTTTTCTGAGCTGGATGTTCAGATAGAAGTCTGAAGCTTGTATTGATGATGTTGTTCAGTAGAACAATGAACGCTAAACAACCAAAACATCCAACTCAGAGAACGAAACACCCTCACAATCATCCACCGGTGCTACAAAGTTTCTCAACCATTTCTAATAGTCTCTATATATTGATTGTAATTACGATTAGGATTTTCTCAATGTGTAGTGAACGAGAAGACAGGTGGGGCAACCGGATTGTATTTAACGAAAATTACAGAGTTACTCAGTAAAGTAGGAAAACCATATCGTAACCGTTAATTTGCAAATCTTCAATCAATCATCAATCCATTGTCTGACATTTCACTATTCATGCGTTTCATACAAATTCCATTGTGTTTCCCCCACTCTTCCTTTCTTGATCTTCTCCCATCTTCTCTTCTGCCAGACATTACGTTGACACTGACGTCATATACTACTTATAAGTAGCTCGAACCACAAATGAACTGATATAAATGTCAGTGTAAAATTACTGTCTCTCTCTACCTGTTTAAGTGAATTAAATTTCATTCATTCGCCCGCGAAATACAATTTAACCAGGTTAAAAAAATGTTTTCTTCAGTGTAAAGCATTCCAGATTAGAATTTAAGGATATTATTGATTTTTCTGTTAGCTTACAGTCATTTTAGATCTTTGAGTACAGTTTTTTAAAACAAAATTATTTCTACTGTTTGTTTGCATGGGATATTTGAATTATTGCGCGGAAATTCAAATTCACGTGCAATGCTCAATTATAATTAATTCATATGAATATAAAATCATTCTCTTGAGAATAAGTATAAAATAAGCTGAATAAGGTATCGTACTAAAAAGTTGCTACAATACATTTTGGCATAGAGAATAAAACTTACATACAATTTGTTATGCACGTCACTTGATATGCTTGAAACTGTTACGGGTTCACCTTAGTCTATAAACGAGAACGAGACAATGAACCAGTGACGCGGTAGGCTACTCTAATCCGTTACTTCAAACTGACGAAAAAGTCTTGATATAGCGTAAAGAGTATATTCTACAAACACTCAGCAAGTACAATGCTCTCACGGACACAAATCTCGTTTATTTATACATCAAAGAAACGTTATTGGGAGAGTCACAAAAATAGCACACTAAAAGAACAACCAATCACAGCAAGGATTTTCCTGGTGAGAAATTTGATCTCAAGGTCAACTGATCAGCCCGTGAATAAAATCCAAAATTAAGATATTTATCAAGTGAGTTCTGGGGATCTAACGTCCACAACACAATTCATACAAGAAAACTGTTTTTAAAATGCTGTCTATCTCTCACATGATACAACTAACATGGAATACAAGTAAAAACTGACCCCGATTCAAGTCACATATCAAAAGATTTAAAAAAAGGCATTTACTG